GCAGGTCGCAGAGAATGGGGGTGAGAGAAGACTCCAAACCTCCCTCCACCCGCTCATTGTAGTGTTGATGCATGTGTGTTCTAAGGTGCTTACTAATCCTCACACTCCCTTGCTTCATTGCTCACAAAGCCTTAGGGTGCTGGCCTTGGTCGGACCCCTGCTTTGTGAGGAGTTTTGTGTCTTGACATTAGTGGCATCTCTCTCCTCAGGTGGCCATCTTATTATTGTGTACAAGCAGGATGAGTTTAGGACCCAGTGATTTTTAGTGTGTGTTTGTTTCATAAATGACAAAAGACAGCACGCCACATTGTGAAGCAGGAGTGTCATCTCCTTATTGATGGAGATGATAAGATGTGATAACGGGATTAAGCGGAAATTACCTCAGATTTAAAAAGATCTTGTGCGCGAGTGCATGTTCTGTGATATCAGAAGGCGAGATTAAACTGTCAGCTGTGGGTGAAAACATAAGCACAACAAGTCTCATTAAAATATAAGAACAAACAGTAAAGGTTCCCTGCAAGAAAGCCGCCTGTACAGTAAATCACATCCAGCTGGTGATTATATGAGGGAGTTAAAGCCGTTTAAGAAGGACAGACAGTTTGGGGTAGATTCCATTACAGGAGCAACTCTTATATACTGTCCACAGATTGGCTGTGTGTCAACCAACAAGGTGAAAGCAAGGAGGGAGCCATCATCTCAGATATTTCCACTTGCAAGTAAATGAGGGCACAAAGCCCGATGATTTAACCTCATTCATGGAGAAAAGAAGCCAAGATTTCAAACAACGCAGGAAATTAAACAATTAAACCACCAGATTGCAGGAAACTCTTGTTAATCCAGAATTTTTGGAAAGATTTTCAGTTTCTGAACTCCCGCTGATATTACCACCTCCCACACAGCCCCCACCTGCTTTGCCCTGGAGGCTTATCAGGATGCAGCAAGCATCTTCTGCAGGATTTCTGTCACTGGCAGGCAGTGCTCCTGTATTCTGACCCTCCCCGCAATCTACTGATTCGCAGGCTGTTGCTCACACAAAGACACAAATGCCAGCAGGAAATGAGCATCTTTTTTCTTAAAAAAACAAACTTGTTTGATTAATTTGTCTTGTTGGCAGGGCTAACAAAAAACAATAAAACCATCAGGGATAAAAGGCAAAATCATGTTTCAGACATTTAAAACAAGAAAAAAAATGCCATCATATATTGTAGGTGATACGAGTTTTAACACTTGTATATTAATGTGTGGTTACCAGCTGAGGTTTCTACTCTGAATAATAGAAAAAAATGAGTGCTTGCTCTCATTCGATGAACAATGCTGATATGCGGTTCTGCACTTAAAGAAATCATGAAAAAATTATAAAGCAAAAGTAAACTTCTCGTCCTCGACTAACCCCTGACGTCTCGTAGCAGTGGACCGAGCAGCCAAATGAGTACAGGACATGATTTCTGAGGCAGACCGTGGTTTAGGTGGTACTGGGCTCTAATATTCACAGAGTCATGCATCACCAAGCTGCTTTTCTAATATAACTGTGGCAGTTGGCAGCACCAGATGTACAGTAGAATACTGCTGGCTGACTGACAATCTTGATAAAACTTGTATCGGCTGTGCAGGATATTTCTCATCCATCCTTTTGTCATACAGCAGCTGAATCTGTAATCATATTTCAAGAGTACTGTGCTCCAAAATACCAGTGTTGTGGCTTGAAGCTGTTAAAATGCAGCACAAATGAATGGCTGCCGTAGATAAGCAATATCAGTCTTGCCCCCAAACTCTTTCATAATGCTGATTTAATTCCAAGAAAAATGTTGTATGAAGCAAAACACAAGATAACATGTCGATTGGGGAAATAGAGATAGCAAAATGCCTTGGATGGAGTGCAGAATGCTTAATCAGATTTTCTAAGTGCAGCTCATGATTAAAAAATGAACATTTAAACAGTAACTGCAGCTGGAAAATACACTGCTTTGTTTCTGTTTGCCTGTTCAAGCAAAGGAACAAAGAAACAACTAAATTCAGTGAAGAAAACAAACAATTTTCCAAAACGATATCTGCATTTTATTTATGCTTTGATAACTAAATAGACCAGGCTATTACCTGGAAAATGGAGACAGGAAAATCAGGCGCTGCTGAGTGTTTTATATGAAAGAAAGAAACAATCAAAAACAGTCGGATCAACACGATATTAATAATATGACAATATATCAAGAAGAATAGTACGTTTTCTTTTACATCACCTCTACATACTGGCGGTATTGTGCTTTGATAAGACTTTTGCAACTAACACAGATACAGAAAAAAAAATGTAACAACCCCACACAAGGATTTTAGCAATCAATCATTAGGAAACAAAACAAAGAAACAAAGAACAGAAAAACCCTTCTCACTTCATCCTGTGGTCACATGTGAAAATGAAAAAGAAGTGAAAGAATGAAAAAACAAAACAAAATCATAAGAAATGAAATTAGGTGCAGCTCATCCATTTGTGCAATCAACAAAACACTCAACATACCTAATGTTGCAACACTGTCCCTTCACACACACAAACGCACACAGGAATATATGGCATGTATCATTGTCATGTTTCTGTAAATGAGGCAGACTTGGTAAATATAATGATTAAATGTATATAAGTCTATATATTAAAAAAAAAAAAATCAATCAAAATTAGAAATGATATGAAAAAAAAAACATGCACTGGACAAATACAAGCATGCATTTACATGATGAGACCTGAAATCTTCACCAGTACATTAAATGGTAGATGATGCACCTCTACCACCGTCGCCACCTCCACTTACATCGCAACCCCCTGAAAGTATTTCCTGCACACGCAACTACACTCATTGTGAACAAAGATACATTCGCAAACAAAGTACACAGAGTCCAGCGGTTGTTTTATGAAGCACTGCAACAGTTCTAGATGTTGCTACATGTGGAGTAAGCAGTATGAATATTCGTCACACTAGCAAGCCGGTGTTGTGTGAAACCATCATGTGTTGCTGTGCTATATAAAGGCATGGGGGCTCTTTTTTCTGATCTACTGTCTAGGGTGAGATAACTGTACATTTTCCCTTATTTATTTCTTTATTTTTTTGTCTTTTGAAAGAGAGGTCCATGTTGGCAAGGTTTCTCCATGAGCATCCTTTTCGGCAGTAATCCAGAGGAAAAACACAGAAGAGTGCTGCATGAAATGTTCTCCGGAAAAATTACAGATTTTTTTTTTTTTTTAAACATTTAGGACTTCCTCTGACAAATTCTTTGTCACGATTGATTCGTCCATTTTCCTCAGTTTTCATGTAAAAAGTGCATCTGTTAGATTAGTATCAGTTCCTCGCCCTCCCTGCGTTGGACAGTTGTCGTTGTATGGTGGCTTTGGTTGCATAACACGCACTTTCACCTGGGTTCTGCTCAGCAAGTGAAGTCTTCAAAGTTACCCTGGCCTGGATGATGAGGTAGCATATTGCCAGGATACGTTGATGGTGTACGCAGGTTCTCACAAGGAGCCTGAGAGAGAAATGGGATGAGAGAGGCAGACAGTCAAAAGGCAGGTAAGAGAAATGATCAGCAGAAGATATAGCATTGAGATCGAAGGAGCATAAATGTGCAAGAAAACCCAAATAAAAAGCTCATAAACACTTTCACAGGAAAACATGACATGAGCAACAATTCGGGCTGAGATGAGCGAGGAAATCAATTCTTCAGGAATACTTTGAAAAATGCTGAAAATAATGGTGAACAGAAAAGGAGAGGACTACAAAGTGAAGATCAGTTGTGGAGAATATCTTTCCCTTCTCTGTCTGAGGTCTGACTTACAATTAAAGTGAACTGGCTTCATTTACACTTGGAAATAAGTGAGCTGTCACACCTTCCAAAGCTTTAATTCCGGCCTGTCCCTGCTGGTGCTGTCCCCCAGCTTTGATTAAATTCCAGCCACTTTCCGCTCTCCTACTTCTCCCTCTCAATTTTCTCCCCCTCTCATCCCAATCACTTTTTCACTCTCTACCGTGTCTCTCAAGTCCCCCCACCCAAACTTCCTCCATCTCTATCTCTTCTCTCTCATTTGCTCGTCTTCCTACCACCACCCCACCACCTCCTTGATCTCGACTCCAGTTGAGAGCAGTGAAGACAAAGCAGAGAGTGTGCCCCTGTCAACGCAATGCCGTCTGACACAGTGAAAGTACTTAACAGCACACTACTGACATGGTGTTTCACATCATCCAGGCTCAGCACAGCTCCCCGGTCATTGTTTTTGCGGCCTTTGTGTTTCTTCTTCATGCACCGGCACACCTTGTATTTGATCACCTGAAAATAGACGAGCACACCTGTTACCAAAAAGTACTTTTTGCTTCTGGTGAGCATCCAAGTATTCTGTTTTTGGTTCATCATAGTTCAAACCCACATACTTGACTGGAATAGAAATGTGATTTATTTTATGTATCTATAAATATGCTTGCACGGTGACCCTGCACATGAGCAGTAGCTGCTTTGCTCTGCCCATCTCTCTCTCTCTCACACACATTTCTAATCAAGGACTAACAGACACACACATAAAAACACTTAGTACTTCAGTTGTAAGAGAAGGGAGGGAGGAAGTGTGGAGCACAGAGTTACTCTAATGAGAGTGGACATAGACATCCTGACTAATCTAAAATATAATACATCCAAAATGTTAATGTATTCAGCGTTGCTACTGCTAAGATGTGAGTGCCGTGCAGAAATGCAGAAATGGGCTGCAGGGTTGTGAGGGACAGAGCGTTCGTCATGCTCGCTAAAACACGTCCTTGTGCGCATGGTAACACTGTGTGAAAAATGAAATTTTGCCAGCAAGTCATTCTATTTTGCTGGAGTAGCACAGATGACCATAAAAACACAATAGATATTAGTTTTTTACCTCATATAGATAGTCAATGAGTTCAAGAATGGTGAGGATGCTGGCCCCAATGAAGAGACCCATCTGACCACCAATATCACCTGCAAAGAAAAATAAGGAAGCAAAACTTGTACCTGAATACATTCATGAAACACAGGTCAGCTTTCACACACACTTTGCGTCTTTTTTTACATCTAAAAGGTGAGAAATGTAACAGCAAATATAGACGTTTGCAAATATGCAGTTAAAAAGATTAAAGAGACACTTTTGTGTCTCTTCTGGGACCTGAACACCTCATAAAAAATGCAAGCACTTGCGCTACTGTCATTTTAGATACAAAGCAACTGTCATGCTGCATACTGCACATTATCTCTTCCTAAGAAAACACTTGACAGCCATTTCCTTACCCAGAAGGCCTGCCAATTCATAGGCTTTCTTTTGTTCGATGGTTTCGTAGTTCAGCGCTTCAAAGTAGATATCCAAAACCAGAATGTTATCACTGTTAACAGAAAGGGAAGCAGGCAGTTTTAATTCACATATTTAAAACTAACAGTTTACATTTCAAACACGTTTCTATCAGTGCGTCTTCAGGCAGAGGAGGTGATTGGTGAGTCTGCCACTTCCTGCAGATAACAGAGAAGATGCGTCAAGTTGAGCAAATAACCTGTCACCACTTACTAATTTCCCCTATGTGGGTCTGCCCATTGAGGAATACAAGGGAAATGATGGTAGCTGTTTGATTTCATACTGTGTTAAAGTCTAAAACTCAGGACTTCAGCATAAAGAAGAAGAAAGGGGATTAGTTTAAAGGCCCAGGGCAAGACAGACTATTATTGTAATTCTTAAATATCCTCTCTCTGGGTGAAGTCAGACTTTACACCCCACTGGGGTTGGGATCAAAACCACAGCTTGACTTTGTAGTTTTCCTTTTTTGGTACATGATTTTCAGTTTTATATCTTAAAATACAAGTCCTGCATTATAAGACAAGTGATAAGCTGCCAGTCCTAAGATCAACTCTGCTGAAGCCAAGGGCTCATTTTAAATGACTCGATGCAAATTGTAGCTGGTAACATGGTGATAATGTGGAGAACATTTTAAAATTGCGTGAGATCTTATACTTCAGGTCACTCTGACTGCACTGACTTCTTTTTTTAAAGCCCATCAGCAGTACACACAATGAGAAACAGTCATCAAACACTTTGAGGTCAGTGGGTCTCAGCGTTTATTCACCTGCACACTGATAATTACAAATCAACAATGGCTGTGTTCCATTAAGTGTCCCTGAAAGCCAGCATGTGCAATAAAACGAGCCTAGACCTGGCTCACTCAAATTAATCACAGCCTTCAAGTCAAAGTACAAATGTCACAAAAAATCATTTTAATGAAGGTAAAACAAAATATCATGTTATTAAATATGAATGAGTTGGAGTTTTTCAGCCCAGCAGGTTTTTGACTCTGGATGAATTTCAAAAGCATCCATCAGCTTCTGGAAGCTGTGGGAACTCTGTTCTTTCTGTCAGCTCTTGCCAACATTTTACAGTAGAGTGGATGTAATCTGCTGTTCCCCCGTTGGAAACTAGTAAACTATGTGGGCCTTTATAAGAGGATGGTCAAGGTGGCTGATGTAACCCATGAGATTTTGATATGTGAATTGGCAAATTGGATATGTCATGCCCACGGCCGTGAGATTATTTTAATGCTTGGTTGTGCTTTTAAATTATCTGATTTATGATTGACATAAAAACTCTTTCTGAAATGTGAATTAAACCTTCAGCCAGCCAGCCAACCATCACTGAGGTTGGGCTAAAGCACTGTAACATTGACACTGCAGCACGAGTACTCACACTTAGCCACTTCAAATTTTTACTAATTACTTTAACTAAATAAATGTAATTATTTACCTTTATGTTTCAGTTTCAGCTGCACACAACACACCTCCCTCAATAGTTTATCCATTTCTTCTGTCCGTTCAGACTGCTCTGGTAAATCCTAATTTGTTCTAAATTTTAACTTTAACTTTTGTGCAATTATGTCTAAAATTTGGTGGAACGGTAACATTGTCCTCAACTCCTCAGATGACCTCCCAGACGAGGCGGCGCACTTACCACTAAACCACCGAGCCCCCAGTATCATGTAGAAACAATACTAAATCAATTGTCCTGCAATAACTGAACAGTGAAAATATTAATATTTGGATTGTCCAAAATCAACAAATAACCTCACCATGCAACACATGTAGATATTCACTACATTAGGTACACCTGTTCAAGTGCTCATTAACACTAATCAGACAATCACATGTGAGCAACTCAATGGATTGAGGTTTGTACACATGGTGAAGACGACCTGCTAACGTTCAAACTGAGCACCAGAATGAGGCAGAAAGGTGATTTAAGTGACTTTGAACGTGGCATGATTTTAGGTAGTAGATTAGCTGGTTTGAGTATTTCAGAAACTGCTGATCTATAAGGATTTTCTTGCACAAAAGAGAAAATATCCAGTGAGTGGCAGCTCTCTGGGTGAAAATGCCTTGTAAGAGGCACAGGAGTGACCAGACTGCTTTGAGCTAGCAGGAAACAGTAATTCAAATTCAGTAAGTAATTATGATGAAGCTGAGGAGAGGCCAGCAAACTGATAGGAAGGCAACAGCGACTCAAATAACAACTGATTACAACTAAGGTAATGAATGCACAACCTGATGTTAGCAACATGTGCCCAATAAAGGGGCCAGTTAGTGAATATAAATGATGTAAACATGTTTTATAATCTAAAAACAGTCCCAGAGTCCCAGAGATGTGGATCTGATCACAATCAAATAAAATGTCAAAGTGTTATTTTAAAAAAACAAAAAAACAAAAACATAAATGCAAATATTTTTAGGCTAGGTGTAATTTGAACATTTACTACACATTCAGTTTTTCCCCAGATCCTAAAAAGACAATTTTTTCTACCTTTCACGATGTTCCAAATTTAGACATGAACAGCAATGATTGACAGGCCATATTTATTTATTATAAGATTATTTATTAAAAATTTTTATTTTAAAACTTTATATCAGCGACTTTTACCACTGGTACTGCTTTAGCTCCTGATATATTCTCTGGGGTACAGATGCTGCAGGTTTTCAGTCACTGATCTTCTATCTTGTTATTGTTACTGACATTCTTGGGTACTTTTTCCTGATCTGTAGGCCGTCAGTATGGGTTGTCATGCTGAAGTTTCAGTGATGCCTCTTGGCTGTCACATGTTCCTGCTGCTTAGTGGGTTAACCTGAGACACATCTGATCACAGTTGCTGTCAAACAGTGGATTAAGCTACATGTCTACCTTTCTTTCTCTGTTTGTGGTTCCCAACAGAAAGACGACAGACAGTCCACTGTCACGGACTTCAGTTTCACATCACCAGAGACTAAGAAGCCGGAATACCAAAACAAAGCTAATGTGCATCAGTATGACACCACTTGGAAATTTGGCCAGTCAAAGAAATGAACTCGATGGATTCACTTGTGTCCACAGGGAATTTCTTTCTGAAGGGAGAAGTGAAAGGTTTTTAACAGCAGTCTGGCTACATATGGTGTAATTATGCCTTCAACTGCTCTGCCGGGAGTGATAGATAAAAGATCCAACTATTATTGTACCCTCTCCTCATTTCCTTGAACTGCTTTTGATCTCTTCAGTACATTTGGCCAAGAAACACTCAATACTTGGTCGATTAATCAAGTTAAGCTCTGAATGTGAGTTCCTTGCTCTATTTTCTCCCCTCGATGAAACAAAAAATCCAAGTTTTAGAAAGTGAAAGGGTTACTACACTCACTGAGGAGCCTTTAAGGAAGTAAGTAAAAGAGAAAATCAACCCGAAACACATCGGTTCTGTTAGACAGAAAAGAGAGTGGGTCATTTAACTTGTTTAGTGGCAGTTTTCTTGTCCTTACGGGTAACTGATATCGATGGCATGAACTTTTATCAAGAGATTTACATTTCTGATGTAAGTGTGCTTGTATTCTGAAGTGGCTTAATCTGTCTTAATCCCTCACAATCAGGACAGCAAGCTATGTTTCAGCCAGTACTGAATTGCTAAATGATGACAGAAAGGAAAATCCAGTGCACAAGTGAAAAAACACAGAACTCCAACCAAGTTGCGTTTGGTATATATTTTGTTTCACATGTTTAAAGAAATGAAGAAAAAAAACTCAGTTTGGCTCCTGAATGTTTTCACAGAGCTTTTCCATCCTCACCAAACACAAACAGCACATTTATAATCTACAACCGTACTGCTCATGAAAAGTAAAACAGTACTCCAGTGTAATCTAACAAGTCAACAAGTCAACTGAAGATGAAATCCATTTTCAATTCAATTCAATTCAATTCAATAAAACTTTATTGACCCCGAAAGAAATTGGGTTAAGGCTGCCGACCTTTTGCCAGCGCCATCTTACCCTTCCGACCATACATACATTACACAACATTTTCAGTTTTTATATAATGACCCAGTAGCTGTACTTTCAGTAAAACTTTACTCCCTTTGGAAGAGTCCAATTTTTGCTATTAGGGGAAATATCTTTAATGCTGGCTTTTGCCAAGTCTGGGACAGAAGATAACAATCTTTGCAGGGTAAAATTACAGTATACACTTACTGAACACAGCCAATTTATTAGGTACACCTGTTCAACTGCCCATTAATATAGCTAACCGGTCAGCCAATAACAGCAGGCAAATGCAGCAACAGTGTGGGCCACAACCAAAGTATGCAGAGCATCTCTGAATGGAGAACACACCAAACTTTGAGGTGAGCTACAGCAGCAGAGGCCCACAGCGGGTGCCACTGCTGTAAGAACAGGAAACTGAACCTTCAATTGTTTTGAAGTCTCAAATTGTCATAGACAAAGTCAAGAAACATGTTTCTTTACACAGGATTTGGAAGGATGTTGCTTGAGAATAGCTCACTTAGGATCAGAATGAACAACATGAGAATACGGAGTATCAATGGTTCAAGATGCTGGTGATGTAACAGTGTGTGGGGTATTTTCTTGCCACAGAAAATTCCTTTCCTTGCGAGAAAGGAAAAAAACATATTTATCAACGTGTCAGAGCACTCCTTACATTGTGGTACATCTTATCTCCTGTTTTAGTGCCAAGTGAGCATCATTAGTTGACCGTGTCCATCCCTTTATCAGCACATTGTGTGCATCTTCTGATGGCTGCTTCCAGCAGAATAATGTGCAATGTTAAATTATTCTAAACTGTTTTTTGAACATGACAGTGAGTTCACTGTAGTCAAATGGCCTCCACAGTCACCAGATCCCAATCCAATCGAGCACCTGATCTGGTGGAAACAGCCGTCCCCATCAAAGTCATTTCATTGCTACGCTTCTTTCTGGAGGTGTGTGCATTTGGAACTTCAAACTCAGGGCAAATACACTTCTGTGTCAACCAAAAGCCCATACAACACTTTTCAGTGGAAGAGCTCGAGTCAAGTGTAAGTTAATGGGAACTTAACATTTGACGTAAACTACCTGAATTATTGAGCATGCCATTGGCACCTGTTTATAATTTATTTAACAGACATGAGTTTTTTGGGGGGCCGAGCTAACGCAGCTGCCACTTACCACCTGCCCCTTCTCTAATTTTTTTCGGGGGTGAGTTGATAACTGCTGCTACAGCATTTTTGTTGTGTTTAAGTAGAGAATAGAAAATAAATAACTAGAAACGTAAAGTACTATCTATAACTAAATACATCTCTTATTTGCTGCAAGACATAAAAAAATATTTATGATAATGAAGAAAATGGCAGGAGCTGATGAATTGTGTCTACAGAATGCACTGCATGATGACAGTTTAACACACTGTGTAATATGATGAGTGATAATGACATTATAACTGCGCTAAAAATAAAATATAACAATGTTTAGCTTCTAAAATACACTGAAAAGACAAGATGAATGGCACTGATAACTTTAATTCATCACTTCAGTTATGTGAAGCTTCTTAGAGATTGGTTGCATCAAATAACATAAATGTGAAACACTGAATTAAAAGTGAAAATGCTCTGCAAACACAAACCCACCTTTGGTTATATAAAAGATTTTAAAAAATGTACTTACGCTATGTACTGCTCAGTTTTGTTATATTTCTTGGCAAGGTACTTGGCCGATGCTTTGCTGGGTATCTTGACAAAGGACAGCTCTTTACCATAACGTGTCAAGTTGCACGGCGTCTCACACACACAAAAGTCATTGTCTTTCTCGACAAGAAAGTCTGAAAAATGAAGTAGTCAGACAGAGCGAGAGAGAGAGAAGAGAGCAAGAGATAGAGATTTAAAGAGAGAAGACAAGGGGACAGACAGATTTATCGCCATCTCAGGATGACAAACAAAATATGAGTTGAATGAAAAGTGTCACAGGAATGTTGTGAAAAGATGCCGCGAGGAGCAACCCCACAGACCCTTATAAGAAATACAAAAGATATAAGCCACATCAAGACAGAGTCAGAGAGACAGTAACAGCCAGAGGCCAACACGTGAGACACGAGAGATTGCAAGTCAGTAAGAAAACAAGCAACAGACATGAAAGGACTGAAAGGTATCAGTTGATGGAAAGACAGGGGAGTGTGAAAAGGAGAGCCTCAGTGGCAGGCTTGAGGTTTACTCTTTGAGAATGGCTACTATCAGGCTGAAGGAACACTATTATCTGTTATCACCTCGGATCAGGAGTTCTGAACAGTGGGACATGCACACTGAAAAGTGCACATGCACACATACACACACGTGCATACACATACACATCATGCAAGCAGCATGCTGGTTTATCTCCTTACCCAAGGCAGGATCTGCACACTCCTTGTACTGCTCCGGGGTGCAGTATGGGGCATTTCCTAAGGATAGGCAAAAGAACACAATGTTCACAGTCTGACCAAAAATAAGGGGCGAGCAAGGGAAAAGGGGGTTTCGAGGAAGCACAAAAGGCAACGAGTCCAAGACTTATAATTAATGTTGTCTCAGAATTACTGCTGCCCTCATCACACCTGGATTTTTGCCATAAATTTTAAGCTCATCTTGTAATTGATTTCATTAACTTTTGCTGACTCTCATCACCACTTTCGGTCACCCCTTTCCCCATCCTTCTCTCTTTGGCAGTTGATCCATCTTTGTCAGTTTGTCAGGACAACACAAGGTAAGAAATGTCATTGCTGTAGAGGACATTATTACCCTGCTACAATTATTCACTGCTTTTTGGTCCAGAGATCGGAAAGATGAATAGCTGAAGAAGATGGGGAGGTTCCCTCTAGACTTCCAGTAATCAACTGAACAATCACTATAAGATAGAGACTAATCCTGATTATCACACAGGCAGATTGGCAGGCTGTCTATATGCAAACACGGGTCTCTCGCTGATTGAAGAGAGGCATTAACAATAATTGGACAGGTAAGTGAGGGTTAACGGAGGCCAAAAGCAAATGTTTCCTCAGTGCCAAACTCCTTTTCAATTTGCCATCAGAGATGCCACACAGTGATTAAGTGTAGGAGGTAGACAGCAAATGCCAGCTGTAATCACTGTGCAAACAAAATGAAAACAGTTGAGTTTTCCGATCCACTGGAGTGTGAAAATATCTGATTTTCAGCGTTTGCTGGAAAAAGTGTTTTGCTCCTCAAAAATCATTTTTGTCACTGCAGCATCAAACGAAAGTGTTTCCTGTGAGATTAGAATAACAGACTCTCAAGCACTTCACATCTTTATAAGTAGATATAGATATATTGATATCCAACTCAATTCAATTCAGTTTTATTTATAAAGTGCCAAATCACAACAACAGTTGCCTCAAGTCGCTTTATATTGTAAGGTAAAGACCCTACAATAATGCGAAAGCAGTAAGGTGCCCCCTCTGGTTCTTACCGGGCATATGAACCATCCTACAGTTACAGTTATCCACCAAGTATCGTGTTTCACAGTCGATCCTGCAGGCCGTGATGCTGTAACTGCTGAAAAAGTCAGAATCCATCGGTGTGGATTTGCAGTCGCCCCATGGTGGAGGCAGGTATGTCAGCTGAAAGAGAGGCACAAACACGTCACACATGGCGATTGCTATCTGCTGAACATCCCCAGAGACTTATCAATACCTTGACCATATTTGAAGTAAAAAAAATTCACAATGCGAATGTGACCTGTTTTTTATAAAAATAATAAAACTCCCAGTTTATGTTCATGGAAGTGGCAACAGAGTAAAAAGTAAACAAAAAGAACAACTACGCAGTCATTTGCAATTTCATCATATGCACGTTATTGCACGCTTATCCTCAATGCAGTTTTTCATGCCATATTTTCTCTCAATATGCTAAACTTGTTACTCTGTCGATATGAAAGGTCTTTACACACTGCATTTGGAACAGAATGTGAATCTTGTTCTAACTCCAGATTCGTGGACATGTGAGTTGTGGTTATTGAGCGTAGGAGCATTAATCCTACGCTTCTCCTATTCCTAGTCTCCCTCTGTGCTTTCATTGTGCTGCCCACTCTTCATGCAGGAACTGAATAGTATCAGCTGTTTAGTAGAGCTGATATGTCGTAAGAGTTTCACTCTAAGCAGCGTTGCTGCAGAACCAAATACCATATGCCCAGTATTTGAATCCACAAATGTTAGCTATGTCGCCTCTCAGCAGTCTGTGCAGTAAAACATGCAATCCGGTGGATTCGTGCAGTGGAGGAACCCAAAGAGAGACGCTGTCACCAGACTTATTAGACTTTGCATTTCTTTGAACATCTGCACAGCAGTGCTGGATATGTAATTCTATAGTATTAGTATACAAGTATTTACATCTTTAAATAATTAAAAACTGCAGAAGCCACTCACAGATCATACTGTTATACAGTGAAGTGAATGTTGTGCATTCATAAACACATCTGTATTTGAAATAATTTTTTGCAGATATGCATATATTTTAATTAAATTTAATTTATCTGAGTAAACACAATAATCAAACTAAAGTAATTTTCTTGTATATAGGTTTTCAGAAAAAGTAAAAAAAAAAAAAGAGCACATCAGAATTTTATTAAGTCCAATTTGGTGCATTAATATAGATGGATTTATGCAAATAACAGTCACAAACCCAGAGGTATTTAGTTTGCCATAAAATTAACGGTTAATACGGTTAATAAAAGTTGCTTATTAGTTTTTCAGTGCTTCAACCGAATCTTCCAAATACACCATATGTTAGAAACTAATTTCATGCCAGTTTGCATGCATCTGCCAACTACAGGTCCTGTTGTCTTCTCTACAGGGGGGTTTAAAGTAGTTAAGTGCATACTTATCATGATGTACCAGGGCTTGGGGAACGAGCATGTCGAGGAAGTTGAAAATTTGTCTTTGGCAAAAATGGGCTGCCAGCACAACTACACAACAACATGAGAGCTTACTCATGAAATTGGACATAATTGGAATGGCTTGCAAGACCTTGTTACATCAAAGAGCAAGAGGAGGCAAGAGTAAACTTGAAGGAGAGATGAACTATGACACTCTCCTTATCCCAGTGAAGAAAGGAACCACTGTGCTGGTTTAGAGAAAAAGGAACCAAAGGCATATACAGACAGCACAATGATAAAATTTTGCAGATGCCTGCATGCACTGAACAGAAAAATATAAGATATCATCAAACCAAAACCAACCCATCCCCCAAATGTGGCTCTCTGGACAAAATTATGGAGACATGGGGTATTCATATTAATGGGCATCTAAACGCCAAAACTTTATTTGATTTAAATTTGGATGATCTGTCTTCAAGATCATGTTCTTGTACACCTCTGTACCCATTGTACACATCTTCAGTGCTGAAAGAGTACAGCACAGACTTCACACTGTAGCAGTCCTATCATGTCCTGTAGTAGCTATGCTTCTGCGCTGTGCACTTGATCTTCTCTAGTGTGTCAAAACAGCAATCCTTCAACTTGATTTTCATTGTCTGAAGGTGGATGAAGACAGAGCGAGGCAAATCTGGTAAACAGGGGCAGGGTAGGTGTTGAACAAAGATGTCGTTGCCGTGGCCACAAGACTCCTGTGTTTTCAGTATGCTCTGAGGTTGTTTCTCATGAATGTCATTCTTACATGCTTACTTCTGTACTTCTACTGTAAATTCTATACAGCAGAAGTAGCAGTATATTTTGACTATCTTACAGCTGGGCACAAATTTTCAGTAGATAATCACATGAATGTTGAAAAAAATTCCTGTCACAATCCTTCACACAAACTTTGTCTCAGTTATAAACAGAAGTTGATATTTGCGCTTTTCTTTCATGGTGCAACTGCAGAGTTGATAGTATAAGCAGTTTGACTTTTTTTCCTCTTCTCAGTCCCCTCACCACTCAACCAGCTGCGGTGGATAACTTGCTGATAGTTGCAGTTTTCTCTCTAATAATGTAGGGTGCTTGCCTTATGATATAAAGCGCCTTGAGGTGACTGCTCTGGTGAACTGGCGCTATATAAATAAAATGATCTATCTTCTAAAAATATGGGGAACACATGCACAGACGCTTTAGTCAAAATTGGAGATTAGACAGCTGACTGGAAGTTGATAGATGTTGCCGCTGTCTGATGCGGTTATGAAACAAACTCAAAAGCAGACTTTCATAAACAGCTGGGAGCAAAACACCAACTCAAGCCGCAGCTAACATTTCGTCAGAACTTACATTACATACATTATTGCCGAGTTTTATAAGCCTGACATATATCAGAGTCTATTTTTACTATGGTATGGGCTTTAACATAAAGTTAAATTTATAACTTTTATAACTATTTTTTTCTAACATTTTAATTTGTAACTGTGTAACTGATTTGTAAAAGTGGGGGAACTAACGACATTGGGACTGGGTCTTTTGCGCTTAGTTACGTTTACGGACCTTTTGTTTGTTTTCACTATCCACTTCGCTCAATTTCTTATGTTCTTAAATGAACCGTGTAATTAAGGAGACTGGTGATGAAATGTTGAAAACGCCTGATGCTGAGCTGCTGCCTTATTTGCAGAGACAGCCTATATGTTTGTATGCAAGGTGGTAGGCAAGAGAGACAGAGACTGAAAGCAGGTGTCTCATACAAAAACCTTCATCTTTCTATGACACTAAAGTTTCAGGCATCCTTCAAAAAAAAGAAAACAATCATACCTTGTAGTGAGTTGAGCGACTCATAGAGATAAAGGGAAGAGGTGGATAGTGAAAGTCTTATGTGTGCCTATATCAATAGAGCACGCATTCAGGCTTGTGCTGAATTGATACGCCAATCTTGTTGGACTTAGAAAGAGCTTTGCCACGGCTTATGTGGGAAAGTGACCAAGGTGTGCATTCTAAAATGAAGCTGACAATTTACAGATGTCTTCAGATTGCTGAAAAGGAGTGAATGTCTGAAAGGGCTATAGAAAGTAGAAGACAACTGAAAAATGATCAGCAGAGCGTGTCGGTCAACATATTCAGGAGACTAATAAATAGACTAAAAAAGATCTAATCATGGTCTCTGCTCCCCAGGAGTAACGGAAATAATTCAGTTACAAAAAATAACTGAGATAATAATTGAAATGTTAAATGAAAAATTACTTAAAACCAAGCATAAATGAATCCTGTGCACATTTGAGTTAGCTTTACACTGTTTATGTAGACAAAATAAACTAAATTCCCTCCGGAGGAATGCATTTTGTAATTTGCATGTTATATCACAACATTTGCCGTACTCATTTACATTTCATCTGCCTTAACTAACGGAAGAGAAAAATGTGATGCGTTAAATGAAGTAGGAAAGTAGGAAAAAGAAGGCAGTATGTGTTTCTGTCTCATCAGTTCAATCAGTGCATCACTGAGTGCTCACATGGCAATAAATTAAAGGCCACTGTTGTGATTTAGGGACCAGCAGCTAACAATCTGTAGTGGGGGGGCACGAGGCAGCCACGGGTATCACAAACTGGAGTTGGTTACTAATAAAACCAGGAGATGTTCAGCATGCACATACAATAGTCATAAGTAGTCACATACAGTGCAGTGCACTCAAGTAAAATAGACAGCGCGAACAAAAACCTAACCTAATCAGGAGAATATAATCATTCTTCTGATTATTTTAACATCAATGGTACTTCGCAAAGTCAAGCTAAACTTAAAAACCATCAGAGCATAATAAAATGTGATAATCGATAATGGGTGTATCTGCATTCATTCACAGTCACGTGGATTACATCCCTTAAAGGAGTTCTTTAACTTGAAAATGGGTCTTTTATGTACATTGGTCTGCTATTTTGATTTCCCTGCATTTTCAAAAGCTCTTTTCAGACTTCTCAAACCACTCTGTGGCAACATTATTTCCCTTTGGTTAAACTCAGCAAAAGCTGCTGTAAGTGTGGACAAAAGTAAATCTGGCGTAAAAGATTTCAGGATATTTTCGTGTGCTGAGCAAACCTCGAAGTGGAAAACAAATCACGAGAGAAAGAGGTACAAAGCAGGGGTGACTGTGGACAGAAAAGGAGGCGCATGGAGAAATGCTGGGAGAATTATTTTGTATTTTTTTTTACTTTGCATGTAAAGTAGAAGGATATTGCAGATTATTCTGTTGCCAGATCACGGTGAGTGACAGCTTGGCTGGCTGAAAAGTCCCCAACAGCTTTACACTACAGGACTGCTGAAACAGGGAGATGAATGAATGGGAGCAAACTGCATTAGATTAATGAAGACTGAGCCTGCCAGACAATGGGATAAATAAATAGAGACTGAAAGAGGGGAGAAAGGGGGAATGGAGAGATTGTAGAATCATATTAAAGAGAGGAGAATTGTATTAAAGGAATTGTAATGACTGTTGGCGAGGAAAAAAGTAATGGAGCTAGTGGGGAAATAGAGAAAAACAAAGAAGGACACTCTCCTGCAGACGCGACGTTCACAGCATGCAAAATCCTGCTGCAGCCTGCCGACACTGGGACGCACTTAGTAGTAGTGTGGATGTGGAAGGACCGAGATCAAATCCGCTTCTTTCTCTCTCCATTTATTTTGCATGGTTCTGAACCATATTAAGGCCCAGACTATGTGATTTGTCTGAATGCATGCTCGCCATTGCACCCACAGAATTATTCACAGTTCAGAGGAATAACCTACATACACTTCATTTCACTCAACAAAACCGACTTCGACAAGCTGGGGGAAGTTTGTGTTCCTTAATATGTGTTAAGGCCCCGTGTGGGTAACTATTAGGACTGCATGGAAAATCCAAGCCTTCCAAGAAGTGCACAGACTTGAACAGCCTGCTCAGGGCAGATCTTTCTGGCTAACAAATCAGCATTTCAAACTCCACCATATTAATGATGGAAAAATAAAAAGTAAGCATTCTTTGCTGATGAGTTTGTGGGAAACTTTGATCTGAAACATTCCCAGAAATGTTTTTTAATGTTCTTAAAAAACATTTAAAAAAGAGAATAGCAGTTTTCCTCCAGCACAGCATAGTGCTGACAGTGCATTGCTTACCTTGTGGGTCTTGTCATTTCAAATCCCTGTGGTCTGACAAAAACCTTGAGCAATACCAGAGCCATTTCCACTTCCCTGGATGCCTCAGTCACTGAGCCATGTGTGCAGTCTGACTTGGTGTCTGTTTTAATTTCTGTTCTTCCCAACAATCTAAATACTAGCAAGTTTTCAGTTCACAGAGTCTGAAATTCATTCATTTTAACCTCCCTCATTTGAAATTTAAGGTGTGAGTACAAGCTATTCAGTTCGTACTCACACCTTAAATTTCAAATGACTGACTGTCAGCAGGAAGTTCAGCAAAGCTATCAGTCTCACGAGAGACGAGGCAGACAAGGGCAGAGCCATCAGCAGTGCCTGAGAGGCTGCTGAAAGATCCTCCTGATGGTTTTGAATCAAAGAGAGTGAGCAGTAAAGTGCGAGTGCTACTGGGACGTGGGCCAGGGCTTGATCAACCCTAAAGGAGTAACCAGGGCAATGCAGGGATGTCTGATGTGGAAAGACATTAAACATCTTCAGTGACTAAAGACACAGTACTGATGATGTGGGCCAGCATGCAAAATCCCATTACACTAGATAAGTTGATTTCATGCTGACTAAGACACTTACACCACCTCCTCTTTGGAGGCACCATAAGCCCAAGCAATTGTATAAATACTGATTACCCCAATTTTACACATCTAAAGCCCTTTTTTCAGTGATATGCAAGACTTGCAGCTCCCATCAGTCTGCTGAAGTGACATGGGTTAGTTTTAATGTTGGTGCTCTAATAGCTGCATTTGCAGAAACCCAAGCCAGTACCGAGAGAGTCACACATTACGAGTGTTGTATTTTTGATAACTGCAAAAGATTTCTTGCACCTGTGTCAGTGAGCATTGACTCTAGTGATGAGTAACTACACTTTGGAACATTTACTTCCCTCTTCCACTGCCACTAGGAGCAGGGTCTCTCTCCCTGTCACACTCTGTGTCTGTATGTTTGTGCCGCTGAGACAGCATCTCTTGCTTAAAGAGAGATCTGTCATCTGATGTAGAACTACTGAAGACACATTAAAAAGATTGTAAAGCTTATTAGAAAGCTAAAATGCAGAAAGAGTCATTAAGATAAATTATTATTACGCACATGCTATTTCTATTTAGGGCATTTGTCAGTGAGCAGAGCAACTCAAGAAGACACTGGAAAGACCTATGCAGACATAATATACTACTGTAATTTTATGCAGTTGAAATATAAGCCATGCTGAAAATGATATGAAAATGTCACAAAGTCCTAATAATAAGGGCGCAGCAACCTTTATTGAATTGAAATTTTATTTTCGTTTTAATTTAGTCATAAAAGCTCAAAAGTCAAGATCCTGTCAGATGAATGGAACGGAGTGTATGTGTGAAAGGGCATTGTTTTCTGGAAAACGTGTGAAAACATAAATTTGCTTACGTTATGTCAGGACTGAAAAGTGAAGTTTGACAATAAAATATGTCTGAGGCTGTTAGAAATAGGTGACCTCAGTCCTCTGCTACTCATTTCCACCTCAAGGCCACATTCTGGTAGAAAGCACCTGAATCTCATCATGAGAGCTTCAAGCTGCATTGTGGGTAATAAAGGCACCATGTTTCATGCTATATGAATGAAGTTCTAAATCATAGAAGTACTCTTTGCAGGGAGACTAGCAGCCTTTTCTGTAGGAGTAATTACTACTCTATCTGCTGCTGACGGATAAACAAAATAGACTGAAATACCCAAATTATTCAGGGATTTGAAAAGCAGAGTAATGTTTTTATCATTTTGAAAGTGCAACAGATTATTTTTCGCAGATAATGCCTCTTTATAACTGCAACAAATTATCCTCCAACATCTTGTTGACAAAACACGCTGCGATACAGTGTGTTATTGTAGTTTCAGCGTTCCACTTGTGCCATCTTTCCAAGGACGTACCCGTTGTTCCTGACAGGAGACAAACGTCTGAAACCCCGGCGCCACTCCGAAGCCCAGCTGGTCTATGAACGGTGGCTCATCTTGGGTGTGGATCTGAACTTTGATCCCTGCTTCAAACGATGTCTCATCTGTTGATAAGAGAGATTACGACATTTACAATGAGGATGATGATTTGTATGCACAGACTGGCCTGCATGATCAAACCAGCAGCAATTGTTACTAATCAGATGGAAACAAAGCTCAGCTAACGAGTAAAAAAAAAGATGCTGAAAGTTAAAACAAAATGAGAAACGTAAAATTGTGGTCTCAGCTGAGCAGGAAAGAACTATCCCAGTTGAGTTATTAATTCATAATTGCCATGATTTTCCATGGATGACAAATGCATTGTGGACTTTTAGGAGTTAATAATTGGAATGAGAAGTGACAGGATAAAGAAGGTGGACTTCCCAAATAGACCAGCTGATAACAATACACGCCCCGCAGGAGTCTTATGCACTACAAGGGCATACGAGAGTGAATGCATAAAATTAATAAATAATTGATGATGAGGATAAAACGAAAATCAATATAGCTGACAGCTTGTCTTGCTATAGCACTCTGCTGTATAGATTTTAAATGAACCAGATGGGCCTCTTTGATACTGAGATCAGGGAAACCTCACAGCGAGGTGGTGATTCAAACCTATACTTGTGCAAACATACATTTGCAGAACCCTGGACCTGCTTATCGTGGCGATGGCAGGTTGGATTCAAGAGGTTTAGCTTCTTTGAGCGCCGGCTCGGGGATAAAGTAGGATGTCTGTTTCCTGCCGCCTTTTCTTTCCGGTTGTCACTTGCTATAATCGTCTAAGTGCTAGGCTTTCTCACTATTTTCAATTAAAGTGCTCTGAAATGTGGCTTGAATTGGCAAGAGAGCTTCGAAAAAGAGACACAGACTTTAACGGTTACACATTTCTTTTCTGATACACAAAGCCATTTTCTGCTGCTGCTGCAGCCTAGACGAATGCTTGAGGCTTAAAGCAGCATATATGTATATGTCATACCCAAGCTTGTGTTTGCATGAGTGCAAACAGGAGGGCTTTAAGTAGTGGACATCTGTCTTCAGTACACAACTGAAGTAATCACATTTGGGTGAAAGTATGGAACAAAATGCGAGTATTATACGTTGCTTCATTATTGTTTCACTGCCTGTGCTTTCTTCTGAAATAATGCCAGGTATGTGATAATATGTCTCAGCACAGAAATCAATAACCAGGAGAGGCTAACAATAACCTTGTCAGTTTTTAGTATAAAAAATATATGTGTTTTCACAGCTGCCACCAGACACATTTTCAAATTACTTCAATTTATTTAACTTTTTCCTTATTAAAGCATATTGTTGCTCCCATTTCCTCCCACAGTCTGAAGATATGCAGATATAGTGAAGGTTAAGCTCCTAATTACCTCCATCAAAGATTTGTTTGACTGCCTGTTTATTTTTCTGTTTTTTAGTAGAATTACTTGAAAAATTATGGATGGACGTGCATGATGGATTTACTAGAAGTGGTACTTGGCCCAACGTAGGTATGATCAACTTTTAGGGCTGATATTAATCCAGTTCTTGGTTAAATTTTTTTTTTTTTAGAAGGATTCTTTATCATCGCCAAATCTGATATTCTGCATCGTATCTTCACAAATACATATCAAATTTCAATGGATCTGGGTCCAGAAATGTAATTTATGTATAACGTAGAGGCAATTTCAGCCCTGTTTGAGCTTTGCAGTCTGACTGCTCTTGTTTACCTAGAGGTGTTAATATGAGTGTTCATATAAATTATACAGACACGTTCATACACGTATATTATCTGTAGATTGATATTGTATCCTGGGAGTAACCTTTCTCTAATTTATGAATTCTAGCATATGCTTTACCCCCTGACACCCTGAAAATGACAACTAAAGCGGTCCACAAAAACTGCTGGACACTTAAAAATATCACAATTTCACTGCAACAATAATTTTTAAATGTCAGTGGAAACTGTGTTTTCTATTCCCATTTCTCAAGCAAATTAAAATCAAGAGAAAAGAGAATTGCTTTGCTAAGATTTCAGTTTCAGTGGTTTTGTATTTAGTTTGTCACCCTTGTCTGGACATAAATGCTAGTCACCAATTTCTGTAGTAACTGTGGCAAAATTCTCTCTATTTTTCAGCCAGAAAAGCTTTCAAGGCTGACATTTTTCTCCATGACATCCCATAGGTGCTCTATGGGATTTAGGTCAGCGCTCTGGAGGGCTTTTCTCCTCTGATTTTCCCCTAGGTAAAATTATTCCATTGGGTAGCTGGTCATGCTGAAAGATCCACTCCAGTCCTTTTTTAACAAAGAAAAAAAGAAAAAAAGAAGAAAAAAGTCAAAACAAACAAAAAAGAAAAAACAAAATGATTTTTAAGAAGGTTTCTTACGTTTGCATCCGTGTTCCCCTGTACGCCTGATACACCCTGATTTTATCAAAGCAAGTTCAACTACACCTGTAAAATAATACACTTACATCCACTTTATCTTTTGCGCATTTTCTTAAACTAGTTTAATCCTACCTGTCTTATTGTTCAGTCACTCGCCCGCTTTACTTTTACTCACTAATCCTACGGCCTGTGAACTCAGGTGTATCTGATGATTCTTTTTGATCTCTAAAGCTGCTGTTTCTTTGTTACATGGTTCGATCAGCTGCTGGTCCTTCTACAACCTTACACATTCTCTCCTTCTGGTACATTCCCTTTAAAAACATTTTTTTGACAATATACCAACTGTGAAGATTGAGTTTGTGCTGCTCTGCTGGCGTTCTTTGTGCAGACGACACTTGACCTGTTCTCCCTCCTTCTCCCGTTTCTCTCTCGTCTTTGCAGTGGACATGGGCCGCTAAGTTCAATAAATCAGAATTAGCTATTTCCACATTACTTAGGAGGCATGCTCATGGTTTCGGATCTGATTTATTTATTTTAGTAAAGAACACTGGCTTTAAAGTTGTGGTAAACTGTTTGGTTCAAACACCAGTGTATCTAACATTTTATGGAATAATCATATGAAAGACATGGAGGGTGTTGTAGCTTTAATATCCATAAACCTTTTGATGCCACTCCACACATAAATGACTGTTATCCATAATTCCCAGGATTCTGGGAGGTTTTTCACTGGTAGTTAGACACTAGCTTTTGTTCAACTTATATTTATATATTTTTTATACAGTTTGCTCCATAATGTGTGGGACAAACATGGTTTTGCTTCTCACCACCGCAATAGATTGTAAATCAAACAATCAATATGTGATCGAAGTGCAGACTTTCAGGTTTTTTCAGGTGATTTTACAAAATATTTGGCTACAAATATATAGTAATTACAACCATTTCTATACACAGGTCCCCATTTTCAGAGGTTCAAATTTAATTGGCCAATTGACATCCAGGTGACGCCTTCTCCCATGCTATTATATGACAAATAAAGCAGACATAATATTTGACGTTCATTTAAAAGTGTTTAATTGTATTTTATAGCTTTTCACTGTAATTTTACTGTGATTTTAAAATGTGAGGCCCAAAGAGGACATCATTAGACCAAAAAATGCAAATAAACCTAACAGTGAGAGACAACAAAAACTTTAACAGTGGCCAAATCCACAATCTGGTGCACTGTTAAATAGAATAAATGCTCTGACCAGCTCAACACCAAAAGGCCCGAAAGACCACAGAAGACAGCTAAAGCGCACAAATTATTTCCACTTTTAAGAAAAACAACTTCACGACATCTAATCAAGTCAAGAACACTTTTGCGTCAGCAGGTGTATCACTTCATGACGCCTTCATGAATAGAAATACAATATAAAAATGTGCAAACCACTGATTACACTCAAGATCAAGATTAGACTGCCAAAAAAAGACATAAAGGAGCTTCGACAGCTCTGTAGAAGTGATGTCGAAGCTTCTACAGAAACTGTAGAAACTACAGTTAACTTGTACCAGAACCAGAAGCAACTCATGATCCAAAGCATACCGCATCATCTGTCTAACGTGTTGGTATAACTTCCAGTGGAACCAGGCCACTAGTGTTTATTGACAATGTGACTTTTGATTGTAATAGCAGCACGAATTCTAAATTGTACAGGGCTATACTTTCTGTTGAGGTTCAGCCAAATGCTGCAAAACTGATCAGACGGTGGTTCATAGTGCAAATGGATGACCCCAAGCAACCCAAGAGTTTCTCATAGTAAAGAAATGAGATACTGTTCAACGGTCAAGTCAGCCACCTGATCTCAACACAACAGAGCGTGCTTTTCCATTATTAAATACAAAACTGAATGAAGAAACAACAAGCACAAACAAGCAGCAACTGAATGTTATCTGCAGCAAAGGTCTGGTGGAGCAACTCAAGGGAGGAAACACAACATTTGGAGATGTCCATGAGTTCTACACTTCAGGCTGCAAACTTTTATCCAAATATTAACAAAGACTCTTTATATTTAAAATTGTAATGCGCTAATTTTGAACTGCTGAAGTATTAACATTAGGCATTGTGTATAAAAATCACTCTTGAACGGTTCATGCAAAATTTCTTTTCTCAAATAAAAGCATATAAAGTCAGCTGTGACGTTGTAATGAGGCAAAACCAGATACGTTTCTTTGTCCCAAAAATTAACATCTTGATGTATTTGTTAATATTCATAATTTAGCTGTGTGAAAAAATCATGTGAATACTAATCATTATGCACAAACCCTTTGTTCATTCCATTGGTATAAAGTTGTAATTGTGAATAATCACCCATGCATTTCTGACAATAAATGTAATAGAGCTGTTGGTTCAATCTCTCATTCTTTTGCTTTAAGAAGTCTTGGGAAAGTTAATCCCACAGATCTTTCTTGCAGCAGAGAGCTCGACCTGTAGAAAACGCACAGTGGTATTATTGTTGACTGTATTCCACTTAGTTAGGGCCTGCTTTTGTGCATGCTGGGTTACTATTCAGTGCTTACTGGGGCACTTAATGGAATTGAGCCATCATATTTATGTTTCCTGTACTCTCCCTAGTCAAAATATCTGCCAAGATCTACTGGGCAGACCAGCACCTGGATTTTCCTCCACTGATGAATGTGTGTCTGAAATGAGAAGCTGAAATTGTAAAGCATTTTATTCGCTAAGGTAGAAAATCACTATGTACGTGAAGACGTTTTAGAGGTAAATTCTGCCTGTAATGCAGCTGTTCTGTCTTTTTCCTTCCGGTCCTGCATTGCTGAACACCTGAGAGGTGTATTTTCTATTATGTAGAAACGATCAAACACCCAGCAAATATGAAGTGAATAAAGAGCATATTTTAAACTATCAGCTGCACCTACTTATTATAATACCTATTTTGCCAAGCTTAAATCTTTTTTTGTTTATCAAGTAGAATGAAAGTATTGTTAGTGACCTATCTCACCTTATTATCTTCATTTAGTGGTTTGCAAGAGTGTCAAAAAAAATCTTAGCTTAACATTTTTATTTACAGCTGCGAGGTATTTCCCTGCAAAAGAAAAACTTTCTCTATAGTAAAGTCTGCAAGGTAACTACAGATGACTTTTTTTCAACCCCCAAATCTGCATTACAGGATGCACATCACATCACTCATCTTTACTTGTGTCTGTAAGTGTGAAATAGTAGATTTTAAGGAACATAAATCCTTTGCCCCGGTGTGTGTTGGGAAGCTTTCCCAAACACCTGCTCCTGTTACTTCATTGCCCAGGGCATTTTTTGCCTGCCTTGTTTGCTGTTTTTGTCAACAACAGTTAGCATAAAGGTTCCTCGGTCTTCCACAGCATTTGTTGACTATATTTCCCAACCAATATATTTAACTCTAAAAAAACAAGCAAGCAGACAGCGTTAGATTCCTCACTGATTACTGATTTTTCCTACAACAAATTTTTGACCTCATTCTACATCTAACAAATGGGTATAACTCAATCAACTGCCAATTCATATCATTTGGAAATTAAGTTGAATTAAATTAAAGAATTAAATAATTACAAAAACAAAGAATTTGGATTACCAGCTAAACACTATGTTAAAAATAATGAAAGACTAACAGAATATTCCAAAGAATTAAAAGCATGTAGAGTGTATAATATTAAAGTGCATAATTATTACATCCTTTGATTTTCAGCACGCCTCTTGGAAAAGTCTTCAATTATTCAATAATCTTACATGAAAAGCATTTAATATTAATACAATTAAATCAGGACAGATCATGGCGTACTGCTCTAAGTTTCATGTTTAATAATGATCATGAGTATTGTGTTTCTGTGACCGCACTGGACTGTTCCTTTACGGTCGTTTCCCAGTGCCTATAAGATAATGATGCAAACACACAGCAGACTATGCTGGTGAATTAAAATCAGTTTTGCTTCACCTGAAGCAGCACTGAGGAGACGCAACTCTTCTGATGACAGCTCGACCCCGAATGGGAGAGCCCTCAGCCTTAATCGGTTATGTATAAGTCAAGTGCTTGTCTGATTCATGTGGGCTGACTATATGACTATTCATTCGGTTATATCACAATAAAACTTCCTGATCAGTATTCATCTGTCCTTATTCTGTATCTGGAAAACAGTGCGTCAATGCATTGCAGGTTCATCACTCATTATTAATCAAGATGTGTAAAACATTTCTAAAAGCGAATCAGAGGTTTTTGTTGTATGGATTTCTTAGATACACACCTGGATAAAATCCCTTTGCTAAATGTATTTTATTTGTCACAGTTACATATAGAAGACTTAGAGGGAATGCAATACAGCCTAGTCAAATCTTTACCTTAGAGGTGGGAAGAGAATCTCTGTGATAGTTATTTCCCCCCCTCTGGTGTTTCTCAGAGCACCGGCATTGAAAATAACTTTCTGTTTTCAGGTGATTCTGATGAATCTGTCTTTTTTAAATTAAAGTTCCCCTAACAGTGGTACAAGGTGAGAGCTTCAAAACTGGGGATAAAATGTCCTCAAGGTGAGCTTACCAGTCTCTCCCCAGACAGGCAAGTATTCATCCTGCTGGATATCCAACATCAGCTCCAGGCCATTGCCCATCCCACCCTTCGTCGTCACCTGCAGCGGTTTTCCATCTTTGCCTGAATTAAATGTGTAGCATTTCCCATAGCGCGTGAATATCTGAAATACACAGAGAAACAGAGTTTAGTTTTTATTATAAATAGCCACAAACCTTCAACCTTACACTCATTTCTGACCATGAAATAAAATCAGATTTTTCAGCTGCATGAATTTATTCTTGAGAAGTTGAAGCAAAGGTAACAGCACACGGGATTGTTTCAAAAGCAGCTGAAATGCACCTACTGCAGCCTGTTTTTGTTAGGCTGTCAGCTGCAGACCTCAGAGGTCTAAGTGCTGAGATGCTGTTGACAAAATGAGCCCTCGTCGCTCTCAGTACTGCATGATACAGTGTGTGCTCAAGTAAATATGACATGACTTATTTCAGAATGGGATAGTGTTGGCCTGAAAAGTCTCTCAGGCCAATGTACCAAAGTAAATCTTGCAAAAGGAAATAAAGATATTTTATATGTTGTTTTAGATAAAACAACAATTTCTTAGTGATGTGCGATACCACTGATTTCCTTTCCGATTCGATACCAAGTAAAATTCTGGGTGGTATCGACAATACTGATCCAATACCGATACTTTGTACAAAAAACTTATTTTATTTATTGTATCTTTTATTGTACTTCAAATTATAGCATCATAATGATTACTATGTTGTTATCACTTAATAATGCAGAATTCATCATATAGAAATATATTTGAACACCTTGCCTGCCTGCAGCACTAAAGGACTCTGTGAGAGACGTCTGTCTCGCCCTAGCAGCACCTATCCCTGTCCCTCTTCAGTTTGCCTTCAAAGGCGGAAGAGGAAGTAGTTCCTTCCAATGTAGACAATCCGAATGATATAGTTTCTTTCCACTGTGTTCCTGTTAATGATAAACTTCAAATTCACCCTAAATTACTAAAATATCGATATTTTAATGTGAGAATCGATTCTAGAGCATAAATGACTGGTATCGGAGGAATCGATATTTCAGTATCGATCCGCACATCACTACAATTTCTGTTCTTTTAAAATTTTATTATTCTGTTGGTTTTAACGAATTGAAAAGGTTAGTTGACTCAAATTTTCTGGTTAATGGAAAACTAAACATTTACAGCCGGCCAGTCAAGAAAGATGGATATAGTCTATAAGTGTGTGCTTTAAACTTTTTTTTACTAATAAGCAGCAGGAGGTTTGCCTAAAAGTCCCATAAGGACGGTTAGGAAGGTAGACTTTATGTTGTGTTTCATCTGAAGCAAGTTGGAGTTTTCAATTGGAATGCCCCTTCAAGATGGATTTCCTACTAGGAAAGTCAGAGAAGCCCCACCAACTGCAACTTTTCTATCCAAGATGGCAGCAGTGAATGTAAAAAGTAGCAAAACTGTAACACTTTTCATCTGTACTGCCAGTGTTCTGTATTTGTGACTGAAATAATCCATACACAGAGCACTGACCGCACTCTATCAGTGAACGTGCTGCAGCGGTGTTTTTGACTGCAAGAAAAACAAAAAAACAGGCGATTTGCTGCATTGCTAGGAATAGATGAATAGATCTACCATCTTAGGGAGCAAAGCAATTTTTTTCCTTGCTTTTCTGACCACTTCAACTGGAATGCATTCAACCTGGGAGTCGCGCCACCCTCCAAATCACAGATCCCTTGGTTAAAGGAACACTGGGTTAGGATCATTGTGACTGACAAGTCTTTAACATAGTTCCTCAGATTCTCAGTCAAGACCACCACTCACTTGTCACCTGAAGATGGTGATGGCTGACATGCTCAGCACGAGGCTTGAAGATGAGAGTAAGCTAACTAAAGGCTATTTTAATCTTTTATATCTATAGATCTATATCTATAGATTTTATATCTATAGCTTGTGGGGATAGGTTAATTGATTAATCTAAATTGTCACTAGGTATGAATGTGCGAGTGAATGTGAGTGTGAATGGTTGTCTGTCCCTATGTATTAGCCCTGCGACAGACTGGCGACCTGTCCAGGGTGTACCCCGCCTTTCGCCCTATGACAGCTGGGATAGGCTCCAGCGCCCCCCGCGACCCTGAAAAGGATAAGCGGAAGCGAATGGATGGATGGATATCTATAGATCTTTGTTCTTTTAAATAGTTGAAAAGTGCATTATTATGCTTGAAAAATAAAATATATACATATAGCAGAGTTATTTGTCATAGTCCAAAATGTAAATATATTCATTTGACAAATAGTTTTTGAAAAGCTAGATTCAGAATATATATGTTTTTGTTTGCAACTGAATGAAAAATAGTCTTTTTTCCCCTGAATGGATTAAAAGGATCTAAAAAAAAAGATATCTAGCAAACTCATCTCTGCCACACAAAGAGATACAACACAGAGTTCAATGAACATGATGCAGTCAAAACAAACTACTTGCCCTCAAACTACATGCGAAGAGTTGATCCATGCAGTCGCATCTATTTAAAGAGGCACTATTGCGTGCAGCAATGAACTGCGACCTACTGGCAAAGACAAGACGGCTAGTGAACTAATGGATGTGTAATCCAATCATAAACATTAGGAAATGGAAAGCCATGGCTGGGATCCAAAATACAATCATCCCTTACTTTGTTGTCAAGCAACATGATTTTGAGCCTTGTATCAAAGCATGCTAGCTCTCAATTAAGTTCCTGTTAACCTTCAACATTTTGACATTCAAATGAGGAAGCAGTAGCAGCAAGGAAGGGAGGAGGTTTGGAGTCAAGTAATAAGAAGTGCGGAGAAATAATGAATGAAATAAATCTCTTTCCTTTGTCCTCGACTCTGGGCCCAAACACAGTTCTCACGGAAAACAGTCGAGATAAGAATTCAGTGTCAGGAAAAAGAGAATTTGCACATTTTTTCATACTGAGGCTGCTTAAAAGTGTTGCTGCTTCCTTTCTTCTGAATGTATTGCATGGATCTTGGGAACAAATAAGAAAGCGTTCATTATATGGTGACGTGTGACTCAGACATTAGTGCTTCATGACAGATTATTCATATGTCACAAACACCAGATGCAGAGAGCTGAAAAGATTGCCGCCATGTCTCAAAGAGGAAAAGTTAGTGTAATGTAAATCCTGTTCACTGAAGTGTGTGGAATAAATGGAGCACAATCCACAATGGATTACCCCCTATGGGGTGGTTATATAGGCGCTTTTAAAACACAAAGTGATGAAATGTAATAAAAGGCCTTCTGATGGTCGGACACAATATGAGATGTGACCTTTCAAGTGCATAAGTGGAAAAACTTAGTGAAAAGCAGAGCTCCTAACCGTTTTCTATGTGCTGAGACTCAGAAGCAGGATATCAATAAAATGCCCTAGAAATCCATCTTAGTCCTGGAGATGCCGCTGACCAAAATCTGATTACTATTTATCTTTTGACATGGAAAAGGCAGAAAACGCCTACTGAAAATATCTGAGTAAAACAATGGGTAAAAGGAAAAAAGCAGAAAAAAAGAAATGCTTGCTTTATTATTGATAGAATTTAACTAACAGACCTGTCTACATCTAAACAAGCTACTGATTTGTTAGCACAATTTCTAAGTTTTCCCATTAAATCTCAATATGACTTTTTCTACTCTCTTCAGGAGACAAGTTTGAACAAAAGACGAGGCACTGCTGCTCCCCCTGAACAGAGAAAAGCATTTGGCAGATAGACATCAACAAAACAGCGATAAGATTGTTCCAATTGCAAGCACATTTATTTGTCATTGTGCATGTGCCCAAGCGTGCACACATATCTGCACGAGAATATGAATGACTACGCTCAAATGAGTGTGTACAGTATTTTCGTGCGTGTGTACTGTGCAGCCACCCCTTCTCACCATCTGTGTGTATGTGTTGGTAATGTGGTGACTGACTACAGGAGGCCTGTAGTCAGAGTTGCTGTGGTAACCAGGAGATTGTGCTCGCTGCTTTGAGTGAAGAGCAGCAGAAGTGGGTGCCAGTGATGACCTTGGGGAGTCAGGATCTTCATTGTGTTTCGTTTGAGCTGATGTTTGAGCTTAGTCAGAACATGCTTCTTCATGTCTGTCTCTCGCGCCTTGGTTTTTGCGTTAAGATTTCTCAAATGCGTCCTTACCGTTTAGCACGAGCTTCTTAATATTCTGGAAAAGTGCAACCTTTATACCTGAGGCAGAAACAAAATCCTGTTAATAATATTTAAAGATAAGCTTTAAATGAATTAATTCTAGATGTAGCGCAGGGATAAAGCTGGTAATTAATGACCCTGCACAGTGATCGTGAATGTTTGAAACTTGTTGCCGTTAACCTTTATTTGCTCCAATACATTTAGCATTAAGGAAGGTGAAACATTTGGATTGCCTAAGCAGCTTTTCCCAAGAAGGTAAATCCCGCGCCGCTTTTGGCTTTTGCTCCATTGAGCACTGTGCCCCATACATTGCATTTAAAGTGAGAACTGCCAGATCTTGTTAACTTGTAAACACAGAATACAAATATTTAAATCGATCCCACCTATGGGAGAAAACACTGAGAGAGACATCACTCTGTCTCGTTCACACATGGTGTTGAAATGTCACCGTCTTTCTCTTCGATAAATAATTCACAGAGAGACAGCCTGAGACTGTTGAGATGGCCCTCGGCTATCCTTCACATGACAATGTGAAAAGGATGCACAAGCTGTTCCCTAAAGTTGCCAGGGAACCACTTTCCTCCTCCTCCATTCATATCAAAATCAGAGCTGAGTACAACAAGTGTGTTATTTTATGACAGTTAGAAAAACACACACACCTAGGAACGATTATCTATGCTGAGCTTCACTCTGTGCAACGAACACAAGAATTAGCAAGTTTATAATGACGCATGGCAGTTTACTTTGCTTTATATGCTTTATATAATACAATTTAACACGACAGACAAAATGCACCACGCGTATAAATGAAGACTTCAAAATGAGCCCCAACAAAGACGGAATGTTTCACTTCTAAAATCTCTTAAAAACAACCTCATATCGAGTTCTGCACAGCAGCAGATGAGAACCCACAGAATCTATTTATCGGACTTTGAAAAACAAGACAACTGTTTCCAAGGTCAAGAATGAGC